TGTTGGTGCTGTTGGTGCTGTTGTTGTTGTTGTTGTTGTTGTTGGTGGTGGTGGTGGTGGTGTTGCTGTTGTTGTTGTTGTTGTAGTTGTTGTTGTTGTGGTTGCTGTTGTTGTTGTTGTTGCTGTTGCTGTAGTTGTTGTTGGTTGTTGTTGTTGTTGTTGTTGTTGTTGTTTGTAGTAGCAGTCGTCGTCGGAGTAGTAGTAGTAGTAGTAGTAGTAGTTGTTGTTGTTGTTGTTGTTGCTGTTGTTGCTGTTGCTGTTGCTGTAGTAGTAGTAGTAGTAGTAGTAGTAGTTGTTGTTGTTGTTGTTGCTGCTGTTGTTGTTGGTTGTGTTGTTGGTGGTGCTGCCTTTGTTTGGTGTTGTTGTTGATGTAGTTGCAGTTGTTGTTGCAGTTGTTGTTGCAGTTGTTGTTGCTGTTGCTGTTGCTGTTGCTGTTGCTGTTGCTGTCGCTGTTGCTGTTGCTGTTGCTGTTGCTGTTGCTGTTGTTGTTGTTGCTGTTGTTTGTTTTTGTGCTTGTTGTTGTTGTTGTTGTTGTGGCTGTGGTTGTGTTTCGTGTTGTTCTTGATTTTGTTGGTGTTGTTGCTGTTGTGGTTGTTGTTGTTGTTGTTATGCTAGCGGTCACCCTCCCATTCTGTCAAGCTCTTCACATACTTTGCCGGAATCGTTCTTTCTGTTCGTGGGTGAAGAGAACGATAATTTTGAAGAGTGTAAATCTGTGAAGAGAATGGGGGCCATTAAAACACCTCTTTATGTTCGGCAGTCACCCATTCTCTTCACGCTTTCACATACTTGCACGGTATCGTTCTTTCTGCTTGTTGGCGAAGAGGACGATACTTTTGATGAGTGTGAATGTGTGAAGAGAATGGGAACCCACGACATAGCTTATTGTTATTCCTCGTGTTGCTATTGTTGTTGGTGGTGGTGTTGGTGCTGGTGCTGATGTTGTTGTTGGTAGTGGTGGTGTTGTTGGTTGGCGTCGTCGTTGTCGTTGTTGTCTTTATTTTCTTTGTTGTTGTTGTTGTTGTGGCTGTCATTCTCGTCGCATCCTTTCGTTCTCTCTCTCTCTCTCTCTTTCCCTCCTGCAAGTTCACTTCCTCTCGTCATGTTGGCGCCGGCGGAATGTAGCGGTAACAGGTCTGTCAATGCACAAGGCACCATCTATTTCGTAAAATAGGTCCTGCCAGCTTGAGAGGACGACGAGTGGATCGTCGCTGGAACTGGTGGTTTGACGCCACTGGGCTGAATGCAGATCTCCTCGGAGATCTGACTTGTTGCAGGTCTTTGAGAGCAGCAGCTTGCTTCATGCTGAATTTTGCCGGCATCGGTCATGCACCATGACGTGATGCAATGTCAGTGGGCTTTGTTTGACGTGAAGTCAACGAAAGGCTTGACGACAAGCTCATAACCCGTCTGTAACGAACTCCCACATGCTCGTCTTTGTTCGTCAAGGCATGAGAGTCGTAGCGCGCGAGGATATTATGAAGTTTGTCGGATACGCTGTCTCATTGTCGGCGTATGCAGTAGTCGATATAAGTATCTCAGTGCACACTTGTGACCACGGCTCCATAGTCCCTCTCTGTCTCTCTCTGTCTCTATTCTGCCTCTGTACAAACACGTTGACGATGAAAGCGCCGAAGTAAAAACATCAGTTGGTTCGTCATCAAGGAAGGAAAAGCCGACGTCAATCCCAGCACCAGGTCCAAGCAAGCTGCAGGCACAAATATCTGCTTGCCAGAGCTTA